CCCCCCCACCCCCCCCCCCCACCCCCCCCCAACCCCCCCCCAAACACCACCACCCCCAACACCCCCACCCCCCCACCCCACCCCCCCAACCCCAAACCCCCCACCCCCCCCCACCCACCCCCCACCCACCCCCCACCACCCACACCCCCCCCCTCCACCCCCACCACCACCACCACCCCCACTCCCCCACCCATTACCACCACACAAAAACCACCATTTCCAACCACCCTTCCCCACCCCCACCCCACCCCCCCCCCCACCCCCACACCATTCCCGGGCCCCACCATTACCACCCCCCATCCCACCACCCCTTCACCCCATCACCTTACCACCACCACAACCCCCCATTCCCACCCCCAAACCTCCACCACCCCCCCACCACCCCACCACCCCACCCCAACCACCACCAACCCCCACCACCACCACCACCCTTTTCCCCCACCCCCCACCCACCATCCCCCCACCACCCTCACCGCCACCACTATCACCACCACCACCATCACCACCATACCCACCACCACAACCCCATCCCACCCCCACATCACCACCAAACCCCCCCACACAATCACCCCACCACCACCCCCAAACCCCACCCCAACCAACACACCTTACCACCACCAATTACCACCCCCACCAAACACCACCACCATTACCCCCACCCCCACCACCCCCACCACCCTTACCACCACCACCACAACCACCACAACCACCACCACCACCACCACCACCAACACCACCACCACTACAACCAGCAGCATTACCACCACCACCACCACAACCACCACAACTACCCACCACCACCACCACCACCACCACCACCACTACAACCACCACCACTACCACCACCACCACCACTACAACCAGCAGCAGCAGCATTAATCGTAGTTGCGACAAGTTGGATGCTCCGCGTGAGTGTGTCTACTCGACCCAGTTGAAAGTTATGTTAATTAGTTCCCGACAAGTTTGTGGAAGCTGCAGTTTTGCCCAGGTTATATTTTAGTGCCAATCATAAATTAGCACTCTTCGCAGGGCTGTCTACACTCTCCCAGAGTTGTCTACGCTCTCCCAGGCCTGTCTATACAGTCTCTGAGGCTGTCTACACTCACCGCAGGGTTGCATACATTGCCGTAAAGTCTGTCTACGATGCCTCTAAGTCTAAATACTGTCTACACTCTCCGCAGGGTTGCATACATTACCCTAAAGTCTGTCTACGATGCCTCCAAGGCAAAATTCCTCAACACAACCAACTGTTGCGCATTTGCCTTAGTCATCGACTTCTCGGTATTGTATACCATTATCATATTCACAAAGATTGAAAGTACATTAGCAGTCTCCTATATTTTCTTGTATTCTTTAGGATCCCTAGAATAAAGTTCATGGGCGTCCTGGGGACTAATTTTACTTTGGTCAGTAAACATTGTAAGTAATAATGACTTTTAATACATACAATACAATTTATTTTCTGCGGTGTACAGAACGTGGTTTTCAGGTAATAAAATATTGCTAAGCACAAAAGAAAGTCACTAGTATTTCTTTTCGTCAGGTTCACTATAAAAGGTATTTGCCAGGATATTTTGTTGTTACTTTGTGTCAAGACTAAAGTGAAATAACTGATAAAACGCGAACATTTCTTTCTCATTGTCTGTTGACTTTCCAGAATTAAACCAGACCTAATTTTTTTTCTCTTCTTTGTTCTATGCACGTGGAAAAAACTTTAGGATTTTAATTTAATTCCCTCGCAACTTTAATTATATTGTATCATTTAGGTTTATCGTTCATTTTTTTAACATCTCATTTATATGAATATATTGGTTCATAAGGTGCGCCTCAGTTGGTACGTCTAAAAAATCCTTTTCTTTCTCTTTTAAATGTTTTAGACACTTGTTCCTCCATTTCAGATCTTTTAATTGTATTTAATTTATCAATAAGAAAGCTTACATAATATGGGCAGCTTGTTAAATGGTTATGGAACCGGTATGGCAATAGATATCTTCTCTACGCGAGATAACACATGACCGGTGTTATCTAAACCCACTGTAATCTGCAGAATGAAAATCTTGGGCCCTTACTGTGTTATCCTCGTTAACAAACTTCTGTTCATTATTATATGTAATTATCAATTTGTGGTCGTTCGCGTCAAGGTCCTTTGTAATCAATAGATTATTAACGAGGATCTCCCAGTTTGCCAGGACCTGATCAAGGAGTGTTTTTTCTCCACTTTCGTTGTTACAAATTCGTTTAAAAAAAAACAGTTCTGGGTTATCTCTAGGAAGTTTGTGTGTTGAAAATAGTATAAAATACCGAGTAAGACATATGTGCTACAACTGGGTGTCTGTACTGTTGTAACGTGTCAACAGTAAAGAAACCCAAGTGTTGCCCATGTGTCTTATTCTAGGAAGTCGCTTGACTCGCGATTCCCGGTCAAATAATTCCAGTCATTTTGACAAAACTTAATATTCCTCAGAAAAGTCTCCAAGATCGTGTGTCGGTATATCAAACCTAAAAATCAACTTTTCATTTTCCATTGGAAGTTCTACTCAGAGTCAAAGTGCGTGTTCCTCCAGTCTTTATAGCCGCCGGTTTACGCAGCAATTCAAATATTTGCGAGCATATACCGCCCCACACTGCTCTTTCTGCTATTTCTATCAACTACCTTAAACTCTCATCTCAGAAGGTGGCACTCAGCAGTCACGTCATAACTCTTCAAACTCAACTACGTCCGAGATGATGCAAAAAAATATCAATGTCATCCAGCTTGTTTCTAGGACTTCAACTATTACTAAAATCCATGATAAGTAACACTCTAACACTGTCTTCTGTCTCCTCTTCCTCCTCATCTCCGCCCCACAGCCTTCTCTGTTTTATTCATTGCCTGATCCCACCAAATTGCCACGTCGATTATTAACTAATAATTCCACCTCACTTCGCTGACAACTGTCATCCCCAAAATCCACAATATAACAATCCTGATAATTCACAATGCCAAGTTGTATAGCACCGTGGAAACATACACTGTAGTCTCACAAGTACCGAGGAAACATACAACTGTAGTCTCACAAGTACCGTGGAAACATACAACTGTAGTCTTACAAGTACCATGGAAACGTACAACTGTAGTCTCACAAGTATCATGGAAACATACAACTGTAGTCTCACGAGTACCATGGAAATATACAACTGTAGTCTCACAAGTATCATGGAAACATACAACTGTAGTCTCACTAGTACCATGGAAATATACAACTGTAGTCTCACAAGTATCATGGAAACATACAACTGTAGTCTCACTAGTACCATGGAAATATACAACTGTAGTCTCACAAGTACCATGGAAATATACAACTGTAGTCTCACAAGTACCATGGAAATATACAACTGTAGTCTTACAAGTACCATGGAAACATACAACTGTAGTCTTACAAGTGCCACGGAAACATACAACTGTAGTCTCACTAGTACCATGGAAATATACAACTGTAGTCTCACTAGTACCATGGAAACATACAACTGTAGTCTCACAAGTACCGTGGAAACATACAACTGTAGTCTCACAAGTACCGTGGAAACATACAACTGTAGTCTCACAAGTACCGTGGAAACATACAACTGTAGTCTCACAAGTACCGTGGAAACATACAACTGTAGTCTCACAAGTACCATGGAAACATACAACTGTAGTCTCACAAGGTTTCATTACACTGCACTAGTCTCTGTTTTCATCGCGTCTGCAGTTTAAATCATTTATCTGCATCTGTAGAAACATATTCCATTTTTTCCCACAATTATACCTCTGTTTCTAATTAATGCCTTACATACTGAAGCGTCGATAAGAACATAAGTTGAGCACTACGGTTGGCCTACTGGCCACTTTAGGGCAAGTCTCAATCAGTTCATTCGTCGCTCAGTGTCCGTGGTTCGATTCCCGACATGGGTGGAAATGTTGGGCATGTTTTCTTACACTTGCTGTTCCTGTTTACCTAGTAGTTAGTAGGTACCCGGGTGGTTGGCATCCTGGGGGACAAAATTAAAGTACCACAAGGGAAATAAGACAGAGAGTAATAGATGACACAATGACTTTTCTGGGTTATCCTGGATAACTAACACTCCACCACCATAACGAAAATTTTTTGCCTAATACTGGCCAGTAGGCCTCCTGCAGTGTTCCTCCATTCTTAGCTTCTTATCCCTTTCTTCCAGTGTTTGGCTTAACATGCCTCGACATATATATATATATATATATATATATATATATATATATATATATATATATTATATATATATATATATATCAATTGATCTCTTTTATTGTTTTGCACTTGTCGCCTTCAACATAAGAGGCAAAATTAAAAAGAAGAAATTCATGCCTGCCTGAGTTAAGTCCCTTTGAAGATGAAAGACGCCATGACTGAACGAGGGTTTAATGAGACCCCAACGGCGGAGAGCTTTGATGTAAAAGGGCTCCAATCTGAGATCTTACCAGTGATGGTCAAATAAATTAGATTTAGTCTGCTATTAACGGTAAGAATTTTTAATGATCTGAATTATTTTATATTATATATGTTATTTGATGCTTCATTATAATTTTTAATTAATATAATAATTATATATATATATATATATATTATATATCGTATATTATATATATATTATTTTAAATTTATTAAGTTTTAATTTATAATTATATTTTTAATTTAATTATTATTTATATTGAAAAATTGTAAGAGATATTATACCACAAGACTGCCATCCCCACGAGCCCCTTTGGGGTGGGGCAGATGGTAGACCAGAGGCCTAGCTTCTCCCTGCGAGTCCCGTGAGGGCGGGGACTGTGGCTAGGCCTGGGGACACTTGGTCCCAATGATGAGGGGTACTTTGTACCTCCTCCCATGGGAGACTTAAGTCTCGAGACACTCCCCAGATAGGGAGCCAAGGCCGGGTCACCACTATTTGAAAAGACCCGGGCCGGGAGAATGCCGGCGAATAACAAAAAATCCGCTTACCTATAACATTGAGATAGATTCTAGAATTACGAGTCGGAGATTTCTTGAAGTCTACTCTGCAGCGGTAGAGTCCGTCGTCAGAACTCCAGACTGTCTCCAGGTTCAGGCCAGAGTGACGTGGGGTCAGGTCAAACTTGGCACGGTTCTTGAGAACTGATAGTGGTTGGTGTTTGGGATGTGTCATCCTCTGGTTCCGTAGGTCAACTCTGGGAAAGGAGGAAACAGGAGTTCAGCATTAATCTCATAACAGCCACAATATCGTAGCAAGAACAATTTACAATTAAGCAACAATTAATATTGCTGGAACAATTAAAACTAGTCACAATTAGGTAGTTGGAACACTTAAAAAACGTGATTGGAAGAATAAAGCTTTCTCGAGGAATAAAACAAGATTCGTAAAAATGTATACAAAAATATTTCAGAGAATGGTGCTCTGAAAGAAGAAAGTCTCTCTCGAAAATTTTAAAACGCCATTAAAACGTGAATTTTTATTTTGTCATTTGCATTCTGTTTAATAAAGTTTTCAACAATCCTGCAAGAATAAATATGAAGATTAGATTCGATTTTCCGCCGAAGCGGCTAATTTATTGTGCATCCCATATCCATCCTATGGAGGGGAGCGCAAGAGCATATGGATACTCAAAAAGCCTAGGAACTAGGCCCAAAATAGGTTAACAGGATTACATTTGGGTTTATATCTACAATTTATCTATTTGGAGCAGATTAAGGATATTTACTTAATGTCTATGGAATGTTATTTACATTTATAAGATAGTATGACATATCACATGCAAGTCTTTCTCTATATACCACAATAAGTAGACAATTAAGCAGTTTATATAGTCTTCAAGATAGTTACCATCAAACTGACTACATACTTTGCATTTAGTTTGATCATCATCTGTGTGTCTGCGAAACTGCCAGAAGTACTCGAAAACCAAGCCTAAGCCTGGCCACTACAACATCTGCCAGTCTGTCCACATTGCAAGTTGTTCCATTTAACGTATGTGCTTATCTACGTTCATGTTATCATAGTGGATGATAGATCAGCTCACGCTTCTAACTGCATTCCTATGACATTTAGTTTCATTATTTTTTCTCTTCTAATAAGAACCAAAGAGGTACACTGCAGCAGGCCTACTGGTCCATATTTGGCAAGTACTTCTCAAACCCAAACTCGCTAACAAAAATATTCCTAATGCTAGACATGGGCATACCAAAGTTATATTATACATATTCCTTCAGGGATAATATTCCATCAAACACTGAATTATTCCTCCATGATAAACTTGTTAAGTTTACTCCCTTCCCCAAGAAATGATTTTCGTATGAAAAAATCTATTCTCGTAAAACTGGCAAGGAATTTGTAAATTGATACCAGTGACGTCCAAAACTAATGCAAAAATACTCCCTATTAAGATACACCAGCGTTTAGTGTTTAAAGCAGATCAGAAGAGACATTCTTTAGTTATTATATGGGAAATAATTTACTTAAGTTGGAAAGTTGAAATTTACACAACTCAGAGTTAGTGACAAGATATCTTTTAATAAAGTCTGTAGCTGATCAGAGAAGTCATTCTGCAGTGACTGATCTGAATCCAACGATCTCAAGTGTGTAGCAGTTTCAGTAAATTTTAAAATTTGGTACTAGTCAGATTAAACTTATGAGCAATCATCCTCACAGAAGTATCATAGCAGTTTGAAGACGATCAGAGGAAGTATTCTTTAGAAACTGAATATAAATGAATGTCACTTTCTTTCAATAAAACTGGGCATAATTTCGATTTATGTTACCCACCGGCAACATGAGCCCTATGTTAGGGAAACCAAATTATTGGTAAAAACTTGAAGCTAATCAGAGGAGTTATTTCCCAGTTTGGGGACGGATTTCAAAGATTTAATTTTCATTTTACAATATAACTACAACAACAAATTTGTCTGGGCCTAGAGAGTCAGCAGTTAAATAAATATGTCGATCAGAAAAGGTAATCTATATTCTCACTGTAAAATAATCTGTATATGGAGTTTTTTTGACAGTTACTTTAAAGCGTCCTACTAAGTGCTCCAGAGTGGTTCGGTTATGCTGAGGATGAGTTGTGTCTGTGTCTTGTAGATAAGAACTTTGATCGTTTCTTACCCAGGTGTCTCTCAGAGAGAGGCAGCCACCTTCAATGTTTCTTACCCAGGTGTCTCTCAGAGAGAGGCAGCCCCAGCCTTACAATTCAATGTTTCTTACCCAGGTGTCTCTCAGAGAGAGACAACCACCTTCAATGTTTTCTTACCCAGGTGTCTCTCAGAGAGAGACAGCCATCTTCATAAGAACATAAGAACTTAAGAAAGCAGTAACACTGCAACAGGCCTACTGACCCATGTGGAGCAGGTCCATGTGCCCCCCCCCCCCGTATTAGACCAATGACCCTCCCCCCGGATTAGCCCAATGACCCACCCAGTCTGGTCACCTCCACTCAAGGATGGAGCACTGCACCAGACCCAGCAGCACAAGCTAGTCAGGTCCAACTCACACCCACCCACACCCACTCATGTATTTATCTAACCTAACTCACGAAATCTTAATGACACGATTGCAAACAAACCATATGGTTTATCTAACCTATTTTTAAAACTACACAACGTTTTAGCCTCAATAGCTGTATTCGGGAGTTTATTCCACTCATCCACAACACTATTACCAAACCAGTGCTTTCCTATATCCTTCCTGAATCTGAGTTTTTCCAACTTGAAACCATTGCTGCGAGTCCTGTCTTGGCTGGAAATTTTTATTTATTCCTGTTTTCCATTTATACACCTCGATCATATCCCCCCTAATTCTACGCCTTTCGAGAGACTGCAGATTCAGGGCCCTCAGTCTATCCTCATAGCGAAGATTTCTGATCCATGGGATCATTTTTGTCATCCTCCTTTATACGTTTTCCAGAGCATTTATATCCATTCTGTAATACGGTGACCAGAACTGAGCAGCATAGTCTAAATGAGGCCTAACCAAGGATATATAGAGTTGAAGAACAACCTGAGGACTTCTATTATTTATACTTCTAGATATGAAGCCAAGAATTCTGTTAGCTTTATTGCGAACAGTAATGCACTGTTGTCTTGGTTTTAGGTTACTGCTAACCAGAACTCCTAAATCCTTTTCGCAATCAATAGTATTAAGATCTACATTGTATAGTTAATGTGTGGCATGGTTATTTAACTGTCTAACATTTAGAACTTTGCATTTGTCAATATTAAACTGCATCTGCCACTTCTCCGACCATTGCATCAGTCTTTCCCAAATCATCCTGGAGTGCCTAAGGGTCCTCATTAAATTTTTTGGGACGGCCTATTTTGGTTTTCATCACAAATTGGGCTTATTCACTATTTTTTTTCCCTCATCTTTGTGTTTTTTGTAAATTGGGGAACAAAAAAGGGGGCCAAAACACTGACCCCTGAGGAACCCCCGTTTGTGCTGCCCCTTTTCTGATTTCTCCCCATTTATCCCAAACTTTTCTGCTGCTATTTGTCAGCCATGGCCTCTACCCGGGAAAAAAATTTCTCCCCCCTTTTTTCGTTTTGCTTTAAAATTTCCCTAAATACCCTGGTGGGGAACTCTATGGGAAACCCCTTCTGAATCCATAAAACAAAATTATCATATTCTTTTAACCATGATTCCCTTTCCCCAAACCCCTTTAGTGAAAAAATTTGAAATTTTTCGTAAAGACAGGAACCCCCTTTGTAAAACCGGTTGAGATTCTTTAAATTTTTTCTGGGCCTATCAACTTTGGCTAAAAAATTTGTTTCCAAAAATTTTTCCCCTTTTGGAGGTAAGGTTTTTGGGTCTTTTAGTTCAAAACCCAAGGCCCTGTCCCCCTCCCTTTTGAAAAATAGGTATTACATTTGCCTTTTTTTCATTTATCGGGCCACTATGCCTTTGTAGTGTTAGGGCAAAAAAGGATTACCCCAAAGGTATGCAAAGTTCCTTTTACTTTTCCTTTAAACCCCCTTGAAAAACATTTCCATCGGGGCCTGGGGTTTTGTTGGGTTTTAGTTTCTCTTTTTTGTCTGAGGCCCCATGTCATAGTTCCCGAAATTTGTATATAGTTTTTTTATCACCCTGTTCTACAAAATTCTTTTTATTTCAGGAAAAAACCGCTGGGTTATTTTCCTGGGTAAAAAAACTGAGAGGAAGTAGGAAACTGAGAATTTCACGCATTTTCCTTATCACTGCCCCAGGACTGACCAAAGTTACTTTTAAAGGGGGCCCGTGTTGTCCCAAAATCTTACCTCTGTATACCAGAAAAAACCCCTTTGGAATCCCTTGCGACCTTACCCTTTCTTTAACCCCCTTTTTGTTTCTTATTCCTTTTTTTATTTCTCTCTTTAATTGAAAATATTAATTTTTTTAACTGCCTATCCCCCCTTTTTTATAGCCTTTATATGCCTCTTTTTTTTTGACCAATGAGGGGTTTTTTAAACTATTGTTCATCCATTTGGGATCATTTTTTTTAGAAATAAATTTCCCTACTCGGAAACAAAAGTTGGGCTGGGCCCGCTAGAAAATATGCCTGAAAAACGTAAAATTTGGGAACCAAGATACCCACCCTTACCCAGTCCCCCACATTTCCAATTTAGCCCCCCCAGGTTTAAATTTTTTTGTCCCAAGAAGTAGGGCCCAAACGAAAATTTTGGGGCAAAATTTTATTCAGTTTTCTGGGTCTTTCCCTGATATATTGAAACTTTAAATGAAATTTTTTTTATCACTTTTCCCCAACTCATTTATTAACCTCAAGATTATTAAATTTGTGAAAACCTTTTTTTGGCAAGAACCAAGTTTAAACAGATTGTTTCCCCCTAGTTGGTTCGTCAAAAACCTGTTCTAAAAACCCAAAAATGAAAACCCTACAAAAAAAGCCACTAGGGCTAAAAATTTTTTTGTCAAATTGTTCCCAAACAATTTGTCTAAAAAATTTAAAAACCCCCATTAACACAACATTTTCATTTCTAGATGCCTTATGAATTTCGTCCCATAACAGCTTATTTCACTCCCTACCAAGTTTGGGGGCCTATAAATCACACCCAAAATTAATTTGTCACGACCCTTGAGAACTGTAGCCAAACAGATTTGTGTTCGATGTTTCTAATCTTTTCATGTCTAAGACAACATTTTAATTTTCTCTGACATACATCGCCTCACACCACCTTCCTGTTG